TGGTGATTCAGTTAGAAAATCCAAGTTTATATTTAAATTCCGCACAAAACCCGTAAATTATACGAGCGCAAGTTTAGAAACAATTAGTCGACTCTCTGCAACGTGTTGTATTCGTGGATTCAGAAAACTTTATTACACACGATGCAGGTATAAAGCCCCTTTTTTTAAGCTCGTACGATCCGCCGGTATTTTATCCGACCCAACAATAACAGCCAACATGTTCTATCTCTCACTGACACGAAAAATTACTTTTTTTTTTAACGATCTATAGGTGCATATAAATCATGAAATGTCCGGCTATTATTCCTATAATAAATCAGTTCACGTTGATTCATTATCCGAGTGACGAGTTTTTATATTGAAAATTTAGCTTGATTAACCTGATTTTTGTGTTTCTTTTTCCTTTCCCATCTTCTTTATACCGGACTCCGTACTATATTTACGCGTTCTATAGGGTCGGATGTAAAAAGCAAAGAGAAAAAAAAACAAGAGGGTCGGACTGTGTAATACAGCACGGCTTTATACATGAAGGCTTGGAATTTAATTTAACTTGAGGTAAACATGAGTACATTCGCGCGCATAGTAGTAGTATACAGTAACAAACTTTTCCTTCGGCAACTTTCGACTTTAAATTAAATTCGTTCGACTGATTAAAAATTAACAATCTTCCTTCGACCCATCTATAGCCTGAGATATTTACGTATATATGTGTTTTATACTCTCGCCGTGAGAGATAAACGAGAACAAAAAATAAGGCGAAGCATTTGATTTGAAGTATACGTGCGCACAAATAAAACATCCGCAGCTAATTCATCATACACCCGACGAGTGTCAATCTAACTTGTACTCGCCTTTACCTATATGCATCCATATTTATCGCACGCAAAAGCACGAGTATACACAATTTGACAAATCAATTCTCTCATGCAGTGGCGCATTATGTACGACAAATGTGTGTTGCTTGTTCAAAACTGATTCGTCGTTTTTTTTTTCTTCAACTTGTTAAGCTCCAATATTAAAATTTTGATGAATTCAATGCAATAAATGTTGACATTTTTGTGGATCTTTATTGATGACTCGTTCACCATTTATTGATGTGTGTAAATCGTCTTAAACGATTTTTTTCATCGTTCAATAATTATATCGAAGAAAAAAACCAAATCTAGTTAAAAGGAAATTAATTTCGTGCTGATACAGCGTGAAGTACTCAAACAATTGCTATTATTGTTTGTATTGTAGGCGATATGATGTGTGCAGTAAATGTGTGTTTCAAAGCAATATTACAGGGTTTTTATCCGTGACGGTTTGCAGCCGCGTAAAAAACGAGCTCTTTATATGATGCATTTACATTTAACGAAAAAATTTTACCTAACAATATGTGTGTACGTATAAGTAAGTTTTATTATACATACAAAAAATGATATACTTTAAACAGTGTATCCAAAAAGTGTGGCCAAGCCCTTTTTTCTTTGCTTTTATTCGGGGGATTTTTCGTTTTTATTTAATGAGAACTCCGAGAACGAAAGATATAAACGAAAGAATAGTGCGATTCAATTTTTGCCCATGGTTTTTCTAAAATTGCACGTGTTAATGTGAAAAGATAATTAAATTTACGTCACTGTTGAGATGAAAACAGGCGTATTCAATTTGATTCGATGTTCTGAGCTCTAATTGAGAATAAAAGTTGACAGCTGAATTTTTTGTTATAAAAAGCCAAAAAGCTTCTATGAACTACGTGAAACAAAAAAAACGTGGAAAAATCAAAACATACGCATATCTTGCTCCGAGCCAAAAATATTAGAGTTTCGAGGACTCGCTCGTTGCTATTCAATGTATTGTTAAAACAAACTAAAAAAAAAACAAAAAATTGTAGTGATAAACAACTAAGCAATAAATGCATGAAAAAGTCAACACATGGGCAATGCTAAAAAATATATAACGAGAAAAATAAAACTAACAACTCTCGAATCGACTGGATACGCATAAGAGCCGACAACGATTACAACTTAAAAACATATTTGTATCGACGTTTTTTCACAATTATGATTACAAGTATATACAAACAATACTTAATAATGATATTGTATGTCACTTTTACTATACGATGAAAAATAATTTTAAAAGATTTTACTCGTACCAACATAATAATTAATAAATATAACGAAGAGTGAAACAACCCCCGGACGAAGTGCGTATCGACGAATGAAAAGCAGGACAAACAAATATCATCGACGATTATACAATAGAATGACGAGTTTTCTTTTAATGCTAGAAAATTTATTAAACCACAATATCTTCTTCTTTTATTCATTTTGAAAGTTTCAGCAGAACTTGATTTTACAAGTTATATATACAATTTTTTTCAGGGAGGACGAAGAGTTAAATTTAGAATTTATACGAATAATGCATTAGTGTTTTGCGATACTTTTAGCCAGTATGAGAAATATCAAAATTTGTCTCATGCGATACAATAAAATATTATACTGTACAGTACAAAAAAATGAAGCTCAAAAATATAAGAGAAAAAGAAAACAAAAGTAAAAAAAGTCGATACGCATATTAACAGAAGACATCAGTATTCAGAAATAATTTAACGTGCAATTTTTGTCGACATGACACGATTAATATGAAATGATTATCAATATCTACTTGAATATAAAATATATGTTTCAAATCTGTTTTGTACGTTTTATATGCAGTTAAATAATGTATATAAATGGTGTATTATTGATGTTGAAAAAAAATTACGAAAAATGAAAAAAAATAATAATACCCAGATTAATAGCCGAACTTGCGCAGAATTAACGAGACTATAATTATGATTGTTCGTCATTAATTTTGAAGGTTTACAAGTATTCGACAAAATATCTAACACAAAAATTAAGGAAATGTTCGGTGCCGTGTCTCGCACGTTCGCCTATTGATCAGCGATAAAAATAAACCAGTCTCTTGAAAATCCAATAAGCATCCTTAATCTGAATGGTTGAAATTATTATAAGTTATAGACGAATGATTATAATAGACGCCAAGTGCGATTCCTTCTTCTTATAAAATATATCCAAATTTTATTGAAAAAAAAAATTGACGAATAAATATACATAATGTATAATCCTATATTTCTTATTCCCTAGATAAATGTGTATATTCCTTGGAGTTTCCATATAAAAAAACTTCCCTTATTAAGCGGCGTTTTATAATTGTGCAATTCGATCATTCGATTGTATAACTAAAAAAAGTAACAAGATTATATATTATAAAAATACTTAAGATATACTGGATTGAACATATTAGGAAAAATTCAAAATCCAAAAGTATGCTCTTCGATTATGGCGATGACGTGTATGTTTTAACGATTACGATATTGAAAATATAAAATTTAAAAGTCAGCGAAGTTAGCGAATGATTATTATTTGATATGTGTAAAATCGTGCATTATACGAGGAAAAACGTCCGACGCCCTTTTCAGCGTACAAAAGGATGATGTTTTTTGCGTGCAATACATAAAAATGATAAAACAAAAAAAAAAGGCTCGAATGTTTCTCTTGATATAATGTGTTATTATGGTGTATAAATATTACAGATAAAAATTAAATTAAATAAAGTGCATTTTGACTATAAATCAACAAATTATTCAATTTTACCTTGATCATCTTATTTTAACATTATTATCACTTTTCTTTAATTCAAGGTTTTTTCCTTTTACGCGGTTTTTCCAAAAGTTACTTCGAATACGGTTTTTGTTTGAATTTTTAAGTCCTGAAAAAGTCTTGTGCCTTTTGTTCTATATTAATAAACTCAAAAAATTCGAATGAAATGCCTCGTTCGATGGTTTTCTTTTTCATCATCAGAGTAGAAATTTGTAAGAATATATCTTGGCTTCGTCGCTGCGTTAAAAGGAATTCCAAAGATGTAAGTATATATAACTATTCCGGCTCCTCTTGGAAGTTTCAAACGAGTTTTATGATGTAGGTCGAAAGTTGAATGGCTGCGAGTTTAAAACAGCCATGTATTATTGTAGCGATATATCGTGCGCATAGAATATATACTTACCCTTTTGCAAAGTTTAGAAAGTAAAATATAAAATTGAGTGATTCATTTCTTTTTGTAGCAACTACAACTATATATTGTACTGTAATGCAAGCGTAAGCTACAAGGCACCCAGACATATGTATAAGTAATTTCTGGTAACAGAATGATGGTCTTTCTCTACTACTTTTGTTGTAAAATTTATTGCTTTCACAAAAAAATACGAGTAGATTATTGAATTCGTTTTCCGATAATTTGATGCAAGTAATCTTAGTTTCGATGTATCTTTACATCATTATTTCAACTACTATTATAAAAAGAAAAATAACAATGAAAATGGAAAAAATATTCCTCGCTAATTTCCTTGAATAAATTTAAAATTTCGTAAAATGTTTCTAAATATATTGCTTAACATTTAACAGCGTTTATGAAACTGCTCAGAAAAGCGCGCGATTTTTTGCGATGCGCACAAGCTCGTTGCGCATGTATAACCCTCGCGTTGCGAGAGTATTCGCTCGCAGTTAACGCATGCATACGCAACCCAGATGCAAATTCTCGTGTCTGTTATTAATGTGCGTTCAAATTGCGAGATAGTTGCCTCTCGTTCTCTCACCTTGCCGACAAAATTACACGTTTTCCTTCCTGTATATGTAAAATCAACACCTATTTGACTGGTCAAGATGCATAATTCAATGACTGTTTGTTATCGTATGCACTTCGTCGCGTCATCGAATGCCGTACGCTTGTATATACACTGCATGTGTCACAGATGTCATTCTGTGTGTCACGTATAAAGGCGCGCATTTTCATGTTTACACGCTCATGTGCCGCTGCGAAGCTGCCTGCTGCTGTCGGAGTTGTAACGGAACGGAGCGCGTAGGCTTACTCGCCGGGGCTTTGAACTATGCGGCGGCACAGGCGCTGCGTTACAACCGCTGTCCGCTGACACAACATTACAAATATTACAGCGCAGCAGGACATACACAAGCCAACACTATAAATATATAGCAGAAAATGCTCTAAAGTTTATATGAAATATAGCGTGTACTCTTTATCGGATTTATTTTGATTGTGATTGAATTTTACATTTGCAAAAATGTCGAACGTTTCTCACATAACTGCTGCGCATGTTAAAAAACTCGGTAAGAACAATTGGCTTGTTTTCTTTTTGTATGTTTGTATACATCGTAGCGTGCCTGCGTGTATTACTCATCAGCTGGTCGTTAGGATGCACAATCTTTGAAAATGTAAACACAATAAGACATCCAATTTAAATGCTACTTTTTTCTCTTTTCTCCCATCGCAGATCACAGTTTAAGTGAAATTCGCTTGAGAGCTTTGGAAAATATAATTTCAAAATTGGAACTTGGCTTCGAATGTGACTGCAATGCCATTAAAAAGGAGTTGCTGGCCAAACTATTCAAGTGGTTTTCGCTTGAGCCTATTGTCAAAGAGGAAAAAGTATTAAATTTACTCATCAAATTATCTCAGGTAATTTTTAATAAAGTAAACAATAATGTCAATTTAGAAGCAATGTAAATAGTATTTTATTGACCGTTTTTTTAGCACGATGGAGGAAGTTACTTGAATTCTTTTGGCAGAGTTAGGTTCAAACAAGAGTTGCGTGATTTGAAAGCCAAATTGGACTACAGGTGGCAAGATAAACTAAACAAGTTGGAAGAACTTGCTGATAATTTATCGTCATATTCAAATAATTTAGATGTAGGTAACATTTAATTATTTCTATATGAATTTTATTAACTAATTTTATATATAACATTACAGAATGAACACTTTGTTTCCCCACATGAATCATTACAACGTAATTTTAATCAGCAATGTCAAGTTAATCTGGAATCAAGCAATCTACCTCATGTATCACCTTTAGACAGGTAAAACATTTTTTGCAAAACTAATGAATTTAAACACTGTTTTATAAAAATGTTTAATTGTTCAGCACTGCACCTATTGAGCTGACTATGAATCCAGGAGAAACGACAGTTGTGGCTAGACGATCTGATAATAGTATCAGGTGGTTAGCTATGCCTTGGCAAATATTGGCTTCATCAGATAGAGGAATTTTATCTAGATTAGAAGATTCCCTCAGAAACGCAGATGAAATACCTGTTAAATTACAAAGTTGTCAGTTCATCACTAATATTATGTTACAAGATTTTCCAGCAGAAGTTTTCCTTCAGAGACCTACTACTGTAAAAGTAAATAAAATTTCTAGTTATAATGAATTTTATAAATGAATACAAAATCAAAGATACTGCTTTTTTCAGGTATTATTAGGTCTTTTAGAATTTCATATTAGTGATTCTACTGAGGAATCACACAGTTTAATTTTAGCAATACTCAAAGTGTTAATTAAATTAACACAATTATTGAGGTTTAGAATATGCTATTATTGTGATCCTGGTATTGCTCATAAAGCAAACAAGGTACTAAAAAAAATAATATAAAAATCTATGCCTGCATAATATAAATTTATAATTATTATTTTTATTTCAGATTTTAGTTAGAAATTTAACAAGTGAATATTGTGCAATAAATCATGAAAGAGACAGTCCAGATGGCGAACCAATAGATGAACATGACCCTTTTCAATCAGCAGTAATGATAATTATAATTTTATTTATATAAGTTTTAATAAATAAAATATTTACCTGCAATTTATAAATTTTAGCGGCCAAGTGCAAGAAATCCTAGTATCATGAGTGACTTAAATGACTCAGCATCACAAACTCACCAAATGTATATTCCAATATATTGTACAGAAACTTTGTTGACAGCCTTAAGATTATTGAGCATTCCAAATGACCCAACTAGACCACTGACAATTGTGAAATATATAGCCGATCTGTCATATGAACTTATTCAGTTACTTATAACAAGTGTTATGCCAACTGTTTGGTTTTGCAACGATAACATAGCTTTTCGAATTCATGAAAGCATGAAAAATGTGTTTGAATCATTCAGCGAAATTTTAGATTATTTTGTTCAATTTGATAGTATTGATTACTACAGAGCAACTTATATATACTTCTTGTGGATAGCAATAAAGTTTTTGAGTAATGTTGTGCCTTTAGAGCTAGCTGATCAAGTTATACCAAAGAAAATGAAATTGTCCATGTGTTCAGCTCTTATGGATGCTTCTATATATTTGATGTATTCCTCATTGCACATAACAATACAAGAATATGCTAGAGTAAGTATTGCATCCAAAATCATTTTGATCCAAATGTATGTTTTATTCATATAAATTTTTCTATTTAGAGATTCCGGGGAGCAGAAGAATGTGAATTAGTAAAATTATTAGATGAAACTCGATTAGTTACAAAATCAATTAAAGCTTCTATATCACTAATAAAAAATACCAAGGAACAAACATTTTCTGAAGAACTCAAAGCTATCCATGCTTCAAAATTAAGTTTACTTTACCATAAAAATTTTAAGTTAATTAAAAAATTCATAATTCTCGCTCAAAATAAATCCTGGTTAGTCAAATTATTGCAAAATGGATCTCAAAAGTGTTATATATTATTTAATTTTATATTTTTTTAACAGTTATAAACTAAGTGCCAATGATACTGAAATGATAACCAAAATAACTCTTTCATTTCTCGCTCATAGTGACGATGATGTGCAAGAAGTAACATATACTGAATGCCATTCTCTTGTCACATCCACGTTAGTAGGAGATTACAGAAGTAACTGGAAAAATATAATGTTTATGATGAACTCACACATTTTAACAGAAATCATTTGTCATGGCGCCGTATCAGAAAATCAAAAAGTTTGCACATTTATTATGAAAATTATACATTATTTTACTGTACTAAATGTATTATATTTTCTTAGGTAAAAATTTTAGCTGAAGAAATACTATTATTTTTATTGAATGGTAGAATAGAAATGACTGAGGCTGGATGGCAGAAATTCATAGAAGAATTAATTCCAGTGCTACCTCTTTTACAATGCCTTGCTCATCCTTCAACTTCTCTTGGGAAATCAATTACTAAAATGTTCGATCCTGACATATCTTCATCCATTCAATTGCCATTTATAGAAGTAAACTATAAAATACATTCATCATGAAGTAAATGAAAGAGTAAATCAAAAAGTTGTAATAATTATTGATTTGTCCAAAGGTTTTGAAAGGCAACGTCAGATTTTTGTTCTTTCCAATATCAGAGATAAGAGACGAAGCATTGTGTCGAATTCTATGGATGCTATCTCAAGAAAAGAATTCAACGCAAAAATTACCCCGTCTAACGTCATTACATGGTCTTCCTCTTAGTTCATTGTGTGTTTTTGATCAGCAAAATACTGCTAGACGATCGGAAGGAACTTATCAGGTAAATTTAAGAACTTATGCACATTTTGAAGTCTGTAGCATTTTATAAAAAAAATTATTTATCTTTCAGCGAAGTTCTCTTAGTTCGGTTCTTGATATGTTGCGATCAGGAAACGTTGAACCAACCGTTAGAAAATCAGCGTTGGTTCAAATAAGTGTTATGTTGTCTGACTCCTCGTTGCACAAACCGTTTATAGCAGAAAATGGAATTTCATTAGTATCTGATATATTTACAAAAGCACTGGTATTGAATCAATTATTTTTGAATATAACTTACAAAACATTTTCTATTGAAATTACTTTTTGACAGATTGAAAAAGATTACGCCAACTATCCAGATTCAGTAATATCGATTATTACGATTTTGAAAAACCTTGCATCTTCCGAAAATTCAGTTAGAGTAGAGCTTTCAAATTCTATCGAAATATTTTATAATATACTCAGAAGTAAGTTTTTATATACGCAAGTATACTAAAAATGAAAAAATTTAATTTATTAATTTATTTTAACTTTTTAAATTGTTAAGGTTTATTTCTTTATCCTGATAATGATAACAACAAAATGGATGCAGCACAACTTCTAGTTCTATTACTTTACAGTGGATACATAATGAGACTTACAGATATGTCTGCTAACAATCCTTTTAATATATCGTTACCTTACATCATAACTGTAAATATGAAACTTCCTTTTGCTTGTAAGGCACATTGGAAAACCAGTATCCATCGAAGAGCAGACATTTCTGGTATAAAATAAATAAAGTACTTTGAAATATTCTTCATTATTTTTTAAATTTATTATAAGAATTTTCTCTTTTAGTTTTGCACAGAAGCAATCCCGCAGCTTCAGTATTCATCAGACAATTTTGGGCTTGGGAATGGAATGGAGCAGAAAAAGTTTTATGGAAGAAATGGGAACACGTGAACGACCAATCAATAAATGAAAATTTAATGATTAAAGAAAACGAATTTGCTTGTCTAACTTTTACTTCCATTCATTTTTGCGTACAACGTCAAATTTACAATATTCAGAATTCAATCACTCACAGTGGAGTGACCTCGGCAGTTGATTATCTAACCATGTTAGTCAATTACGTTTGAAAATAATTATAAATTAATTTTAAAAAATTAATCGTAAATTTTTCATAGGTACTTGAAATTATCCAATTTGGTTGGCTTAGATAATTTCCAAGCCATTTTAGATTTACCGTGGGCAGACACTTTTGAACGATTCTTGCAAGCTCACCCAACAAATAAAGAAGACCACGAATTATTCGTAGATGTTCTCAACTTCTTACATTTATACATCAAATTAGCGGCTGGTAAAATTATATTTTTAAATAAAAAAAAATCCAATGAAGAACTTTATTTTATGTAAACATATTAATTTTTATTAGATCAATCAACTTGGCTTTGCAAGGCTGTCAAAAGAATGATTAAATCATTACCGGACTGGTTAAACGTACCGGAAGGCGGAGAAGAAGTGCATCATTCTATACTGAAATTGATGCGAGCTTGTGCCACAACGGATCAAGATGAATCTGATGAATCGAAAAACGTCTGGATCAATTTCGTCGAGTTTGCTGTGTCTAATTTTTTCAGTGGAGAATATTATAATCTAGGTAAATAACTAATTGTGAAAATAGATTGAAAGTGTTTCAAGTTTATCCATATAATAATTCGATCAATCGCAGCTTTTCTCGATTGGGTCTTGTCAACATTGACTTATGTGATTAAAAACTGCCATTGGAGAACTCACAAAGACTCTTTAACATCAATCGGTCTAGCCTTAAATGAACTGATATTATCATTTCATCGTAATGGAATTATTAGTTTCATGGGTCTGACGATTACCAGAGACTGCATCATTTGCCTCAATCATATCCTGCTCGAAATGCAAACTCATTTGAATAAAAACGTAAGTAATGAATTTTCACCCTATCCGAGCCGAACCATTCAATTTCTATAAATTTCGTAGTCTTGGATGAAGTTTTGGTACGACGACAATAGTCAAAGTTTGTGCTGGTTACCGGCTTTGTGGCGTAGCCGAGATCCATTGGTGCGTGCCTCTGCCTTGCAACTTCTGACAAGTCTTGTCGATGGACCTCACACGGCTTTGCAATTGCTCGCTGCCATTGACATATCGCCGCACGAGCTTTGTCAGGCTTTGCTGTACTTCGTGACGGCTCGCGAGGAATCGTCGATCGTCAAAGAAGAAGCCTGCTTGACGATGGCCAATCTCATTAGGAATTCCAAAACAATTGCGTTCCAATACGTAAGTTAACTTGGCCTATGTAATTGAATTTTATGTTGCTCTAATTTTATAGACTTGTTTTTCTTATTATAAATCGAATGTTTATAAAAATAAAAATAATTCCAATTACAGATCGACTCGATGAATGCTAGTGCAATGCTAAGTTATGTCAAGGAAAACAACGTTTATCACGAGATAGCCGTTATGTTGTCGAACTGTTACATGCTCGCTACCTTGGATCCTGATATTTGCGAGATATTCGAATCCTCGGGGGCACAGAGCCAACTTTTGTCGGGCGATCAATCTAGTGGTACCGTTTCATTGGTACCCAGAGCCGTTTACTATTTGTATGACTGTGACGATGACTTACAGCGATGTAAGTTCTTGATAATGTAAGGTGGTTTGAGCAAATTTAATATATTTTTTTTAATTTATTTTTCTAGACTCAGCTAGAAGTTCAGACGATGCAATGATCGACGAAAGTCAGGTGCAGTTCATAACTACTCCAAATTTAGTAACATCTCTGTGCACTATGCTTAATAGCCTCATAACTATAGGAGAAACCGAAGTTATCCGTGAAATTTTCGAACATTCGGTGCATAAATACATAATTGGGTACGCCATAAAATTTTGATTTGTTACAGCTTATAATTGTGAGAATAAATGTGAATATTGAATTTTTACTTTCAATGCAGCTGTTATAGCGATTTTCCAAGATCAATCAATACCGAACGAGATGTGGAAAACTACTGCAACATTCTCGAAATGTTCGCTTCGTTGACAATCATCCTTACCAACTGTTTGATTCATAGTCCGGATTTTGCCTCAATTATAGTCTTTCCTCCAGAATTCATTCGCCATCTACTAGGCTTCATAAATGTTGACCTATACCGTGAGTATTTAAATCATAATAATTCATTTTGGCACAATTCAAATAATTGAAATGATTGTAGATACAAATACGCAGCGAATGATTTCTCTACGAAATCGATTGGCTACAGAAATTTTCAAATTCTTTACATCGTTGTCACTGACCGAAAGTCAACACTTTGACTCTGTTCAGACAGCTCTCAAGTCACTCGACGTGGAATCTTTGGCACGCACGCTTGCCAATATAATTAGAAATTCTAAGAGCGACCTCGGCCTGACCGCCATCAGTTTTCTAGCTTTCCTTCTTAGTCAAGAAATGCAAAAGGACTGTGAGGAAGACGAAAAAGTTTTGATATTCAAAGATGCACTCGATACAAAACGTATCGTCGAGTCTGAAGACAGCTGGGATAACGAGCATCAAGAAGCGACGACGATGCAAAAGAGAAATACGAGAAATATTATTGGCGCTGCGTCGATCGAGCATCCAATTGAAGCCACCGAAAATCAAAATGCCATCACTATAGGGGCAGATCTTTGCAAAACTTTAATCAATCTGTTCATCACGCATAATTACGCAAAGACTGGCGCGAAGAAGAACAAGCACAGCAACGACCGAGAAGTCATAACTGTGGCTTTGACAAATCTGTTGTGTATATCGTCGACGGCTAAAAAACTTGCGGTCAGCGAAAAATTCCCCGCTACGATTATGATGGTGCTGAAAGAGATTTACCTCAAGCTCAACTCGTTACCAATAACAACGTTTAAGAATCAAACCGGTGATAAGGTTTGTTATAGGACAAAAATGTATTAATTTTATCGCCCGATGCACATAATCCAATGCTTCGACATTCTCGTCATAGCAACGCGATGCGCGCAGCAGGCTGAATCGAAATGAAAATTACCATCTAAAATGCAGATTTTTTTTGTTGCTGGCGCGGCATTACAAACGAGCGATAAATTGCAATTTACGATCGATAAATTCTGTGCTTCTTACTATATTCACCCTCTTATGTTGTTTTCTTCTACAGTTACATCCACTGTTACAAGAGATCGAGGCAATCTACATGCTAGCTATGAATTTCATGTTCGACTGCGACGAGGCGAAGCAAGCTTTGGCTAAGGTCGGCTTTGCTGACATCATTCACAAACTATGGTCGCACACCTCGACTAATAAAAAAGTTTTGATCGGCACATTAACGATGTTATCGGCGTTTACCGCTAATTGCACAGAAGGTGAGTTGTGGTAGCGTCTCTCTCATTATCGCGTACTAACGCAAGAATTTTCATTGAATTTCTTTATACATTTGTGCACAAGATCGAGCTGTCGTGTCATTGTTTTCAAGTGGAAGATTAATTTTAGATTGACCATTGTTGACATTTGCACAATACTATTGACTCGGTCTTGCTATGATGTAAAAAAATAGCATTGATAATTTCTGATGCCTCGTTTTTTTTTGTTTTCGCAGCCGCTCATTCATTGACATTGACGACTGTTACGCCTGGAGTCGGACTGAGAAAAACCCCAAATTCTGTTTCACTAGTACACGTCATCGTACAACTCATTGTTAAGGAAATAGAAACAATCGGTCGCAACAATCATGGCCAAAAATTGAGGTATGCACTGACCGTGCTGAGAAATGCCATTCACAATCACGAGTGCCGCGTCGTTTTATCAAAAGTAATGCGAATATTTTTCATTACATTGTCGAATATAATTAACACTTTTTTATTGATTGAATGATTATGTTTAAATTAGAGCAATTTGTTGACGATTTTTCCAAAAATCCATTCAGCGGTAACTAAGAGGACAAAAGTTTGGCAAAGCGTCGAAATGAATTTCTTAGAATTTCTAATAGACTTCACGTTTTACGACGAAGGACAAATGGCGGTTTCCAAGGTAAGTCATTTTTTTACATTTTATAATTCTTACGTAATGAAGCTTTTATTAATGAATTGAGAAGTGAAAAAAATTGGTCATTATTCATTTTTTATTGAAAATTGCATTTTTCTCGTAACAATGCGTTCTTACAACAATTCATTCGCATTGAAATTGCGACGTAAAATAATAACAAAACACAACGTGACCGCAGAAAATATGTTAATTTTTTTTTCAGGCTGTGGATAGCTTGGAGGTGCTTATAAATTTAGCTCGACTATCGACTGGTTCTATTAGACTTTTAGCAATGTCAATCCTTCGCAACTTGTCGTTCAATGCGAGTAATCGTCCAAGGCTTTTGGGCTCAAGTAAGTCGTCCGTCATAAAGTCATAAAATGTCGCAGCAATTGTGCATTCGGTTTACCTATTTTTAATGATAACGAGACTCGACTGCGGAAAACATGTCAATGGCACTTTTAGCCCTGAGCAATATAAAAAAACATTAAACAAACAATTTTTCTTCGTTTTATTTTTGCAGCCGATTTTTTGGATCTGTTGCTGACATTAATGAATAAAGGCGATCTGATGGACATTGAAATCGCAGGATCATCCTTGTGGGCTCTGGTGAGCAACAATCAACGTGGCAAAGTCATAGCTCGCAGCGCCGGTTTTCCCGCCTGCTTAAACGCCGCCATCAGTCGGCTCTCGTTACAACAGAACGAAAATGGCGAAAAGGAGCGTGAGCTGAAAAAGATGCTCGAGTACATTCTGCAAGTCATACGCCCCAGGTGATATTCAACTGATGACGATTTTACCGTGCAGCTGCGTGGTGAAATGGGCGACTTTTATTTGTACATAAGCTGACTGAATATCTTTCCCAATTTTTGTAAATGTTGCGAAGCTGAAACATTACAATTGTTTTGTAATATATCCTACAAAAAAAAAAGAAGAAGAAGAAATTGAACAAGTGCCTGTACAACAATATGTTAATAAATTATGTAATATTTTTATATAAGAATATTCTGAGGTGAAAATGGAATCTTGTAAATGTGTGTTTTGATGTTTTGTATCGTCTGTCAACCCATTACTATAAGACTATTAACTTGTGGTTAAATATTTTATGATTAATAAACTTTTGTATTTTCTCACATGAAATCAAATTCATTTAATAGAGTTATATTCTACTCCAATTTTCTTCAATTACATCGATCATCATATGATTCTTGTATTTTTTTAGGCTGCATAAAGATATAAGCCTACGAATTATACGAACCCCGGATACGAAACAAAAAAAATTGCAGGAAATTCGACGAAAAATATTAAAGAAATAATTAATATAAAATTGAGAATCCCAAACGATAAAGGCTCATTACGCGATTCAGCGTGAAAGAGAGAGAGAGAGAGAGAATGATACGACTTCTCGCAAAATGATTGACGCGCGTTATGTACGTGATACGCGCAAACTTTTATTCGATGAAAGCAACGATCGAAACGATGTGTGCGCTGCACAAAATCTGATAGTAACGCGCTTAATATCCTTAACAACATATTTTACCTTTAAACATTTGCTCGCCCGAAGCGATGTTTGGGAGTGATGTAGCGATATCGCATCGCAGTGTCTCGTATTCATGTACTGCAATATACGTGAAAATTTTGCCAATCAACTCGGGCATTATTTGATATTTTTTTTCATTTTTCATTTTTTTTTTCTTTCACTTACATGTACAGTACAAAGGCCCAATTGATCACTGCATTATATAGTTTTTTCCATGCGAGAGAAAGATAAAAGAATCGAATGGTGGTTAGCGCAGGACCGCGTCGTGGATGTTAAACACGTTGCATGCGGACGCGCCTGTCATCACTAGGAGAAAAAAAAGTTTTTTGTATTCTGTTCGAGTATAATATAATGTATTATATGTGTGTGATATATGATGCAATACTCGAAAAAATTGGCACAACCGCAAATCATTGAAGAGTATGCATTACTCATGATTGTTTAGATCATAATATTGCTCGACTAGAGGCCTGACGCATTCGAAATAACGCAAAATGGGCCCGCCTTTCGTGTAGGTATAGAGTGTTGTTTTTTGTTCTCTCTCTCGAAACCGGCGAGAGAGACATTCTTCATAATGACATGCGCCGAACGCTACATCCTTTCCGCGACATTGTATTTTATATATGCCACAAGTGGACGATATGTTCTTTCGACAATGTCACATTAAATTCACAGCGATGCTCGTTTTCAAAATAAAACTCGAGCGCGAATTATTTTATTGCATAGCTGGTGTATACATGAATGGGACGAATCGACTTTTAAGTCGATCAAGTTATACAAAAATATATTTAAGAGCAAGCGCACTAAAGAAGCAAGAGCATTTTTTCTTCTATATTTAATCTCGTACGATAAGAGATAATGAATTTTCCCTCGGAGATCGAAGCGTATAATAACATGCACGATCGTCGATCGAAAAAAAGTACGTCAATCGCACGATATATTTTTGCCCTATAAGTAGCAAGAGCAATTCCCAAAATTAGCCAGGTGCACAATTGTTGTCGCAGATAGAATTATCAGAAACGGATAAACAGAAAATCCAGCTGGAATTCTGGTATGACGTCGCGAGTGAGTCGCGGTTTTACATATATTTATACGCGCGAAAGATGTATTTGTCATATTGTTCGTCCTTGATTGTAATAAATGTGAAAAATATCCTATCGATCGCTCAATGCACACCCACGCGTGTATGTAACTGGGATTATTTCATTCGAGCGTGAATCTTTCATTGCTCGCGCGGATATGGGATCGGAGAATTAACGACGATCAAACCATCGCACAAAAACCAGCTCGACGGCAATCGTAATAATTTCACTCTTGTTGCTATGTGCGATAAGAAAAATCCCGTTTGTTACGATCCGAGAGCCTATGCTCTGGAGTTGTATCATTAAATCTCGAACGTATACAAAGGCACCTGCGTGGACAGTAGCATAATATTGCGAGTAGCGAAAAACAATTTGCTCTCTCGACGCAGTAATTATATGTGTGAATAATATAAACGATCAATCACGATGTATCGAGGTCCGAGTCGGCGTGCGGAATCATACAGCTCGGCTTCGATCTCTGTAGATTCTACTTTTCTGGCTCGATTTTCGCCTTCCCCGTCAAAGTCTCTCTCTTTCACGAAATTTTTTGACTACGACCGCGAGCTTACACGTGCGTATCACGATCATACAATACGCGTGTGCGTTCGATACGAGTGCACGAAACAGTAGGCGTCTCAATGTAACGTAGGCATGTCGCGCATATATGCACACGTACATAATCCCACAAGTGTTGAGAGTCGAGGGGCTCCTGCAGCACGACGATCGCTGCGCAGTACCACGTGACTCGGCGAATGGAATTGCGTCAATGCTGACCTCCGTAGCAGCGACAGCAGCAGCAGCAGCCGCGGCATGGAGAGCGCCAAATTGTGGATCGCTCATGCCTGCGCGCCTTTTGCTTCAGAGCTATATTATGCGCACAGCAGCCTGTTACAGCAGCGTGATCCAAGCCTCGGCCGAGTGTCCTCCGAGCGCGTATGAATAGCTGTACGTTATCGAACTCGTAGATATCATATACGCATTATCATAAAAACACCTCATAAGCCCGACAGAGCAGTGGACATTAACTTAGTATATTTCGACCTCTCAGCGCATGTTATCTCACGATCGCGATCGCAGCTGTTGACTTTCATTCGCGTGCCTTGGATTACGATAGCGTGGGCGTAGTAGGCTCTCGTTTCGCCTCCTCATCTGTCTCAGCTGTTTGCCTGATGCACATTGACAAAAATCTTAGTGTTCGATCCAGCAAAAGTGGACAGCTGTACCAGCAAAATATCTTTTTTGATCCATACCTTTACGATTTTTTTAGTGTACGTCGCGATACGATGACTCGAGCGGTCGCCACGAATAAAAAATGAAAAATCGGCAACTTACTGAAGCTTTTGTTATATTAGTGGCACAGCTAAAGTAAAGCCGCGCTCGCAAGAAATCGATAATCATGTCTTCAAGTGTCTTTAAGTTGTTACTGGGCTTTATATTACAGGGCTCATGTTTACCTAATCGTATATTTAATGTTTGCAACGGGACAACTGAAAATTTCGACGCGATATGTGCGAGCGTGCTAGTGTCCGAATAAATGTTTGCTTATGTGTGCCATGTATATTATTAGAACGTTTGATAATTCCACGCGTCGTCGATATTATTATATACATGTATATCGCGCGGTGTATCAGGCATCAAATTGAAAACGCATTAAATTAAAGTGAAAAAAAAATTAGAATCCGATATGATTTGCGTCATTGCATCCCTCCTCTTTCTTTCTCTCTCTCTCTCTCTCTCTCACATACGCGTGCATCTAGCAGCAACAGTAACACACTTGCTTTACATTTCATACTTATTGCAATCGAGAAATTTGAGTTCGTCGTATTGACATCGACGTTTTTGCCTGATCCGACTGAAATGTAATTGTACTAATAGCATGGCTTCTGCACTACGATATTTTTACGACTGCCTTCATCCAAGAGTATACATAAGCTCTTTCGTGCATTTATAAATCTTTATAATGCATACACGATAAAAGAGAGTGAACGAGAGAGAGAGAGAGAAGGAGAAAAAGAAGTGAGCCATTTTTCCGTAACGCGCACGCATAAAAGATGCGTCTCACGCTCGTATTACAATGCATCTTTTGTGACGTGCATATTCAACGAGACAGAGAGAGACAGAGCCGCGGAGATTCGTTGTAATCGCGCGCGCTTATGTATGTGTGCGCGTGCCCCCGCAATGCGAGTAAAAAGTTTCGTTGAACTTATGTGCATATTCCGCACCCGTTTGGATTTTAATCGAATAATGACTTGCCGATCATCGAATCAGCTCGCGCTCCTAACTCATACATTTATAATATTATGAATTTTGTAATGTCCCCGTGCCAATTCGTGTATCATCATCCCGTGTGTGTTCCAGGCACAAATATTTGAACGACCAATAGCACAGAATGAAAATTTCTATCAAACCTTTTTAAAAAAAGGACTTTAACATCGAAATATTTTGAGCTTCATGCTTCTACGATGTTTCAGTTACTTGACGTTACCAAAAAATGACGACGAGTCAATGGTTTTTGCAACTTTTTTCTACTTAGATTTGCTTATAGACGGTGGCGTATTATGGAGTACGACAATCACAACATAGCGTGAGGGTGGCAGTGGATTGGGTCGGCAAAGTTCGAAATGAATATTAAAGTTTTTTATAATTTAGAAGGCAAAAAAATTTCCGAAGAAATCGTCATCAAGTTTGAATTTTAAACTAGTTCAAATATTGTGAGGACAATAAATAAACAGATACATCGGTAAATAAGCAGATCAATTGCTTTTTCATCTAAGGGCAGTACACGACGTCTTCAAAGATTACTTATGCAATAATTGCGGGAAGAAATGTGGAAAAAAATCGAGTTTGCTCTTACACATGACAACGGTTCATGAGGGTCGCAAAGATTACTCTTGCGACAATTGCGAAAAGAGATTTGGACAAAAATCAGATTTGTTCAAGCATAAAAAAATTGTACACAGGTTGCAAAGATTATACATGTGACAAATGTGAACAAAAATTTGGGGATTCAAGCAATTTGAGAAGACACCAAAATACAGCTGTCCACGGGGGTTGCAAAAAGTACCCATGTGTTAGTATGTTCAAGAATAAACTTTTCTATAATTCCAATAAAAATTTGGCCAATATGAGTGTGCCTTATTTGAACTTTGTGCTAACAACTATCATTGCACCATTGTTCAATGTCCTGAAACGATAGTTTTATTATACGATCTTGTTGACTTTTTCATGTAACTGTTTCAAATATTCCATAATATCATAACACTATAAATCTTCACGTAAGTAAGAAAATTCTCAACAATAAAAAACATAAACGATTTTGAGTGAAGAAATAACAGAAGAAATTCAAATTAAATCAGCAGGTTAGCATGTTTTCAGTTTTTCATTAAATTAAGAGCTGCTCCTAATCTAGTATGTTGTCAAACAGGGTTGACAGTTGATCAATTAAAATAATTCAACTCCTCGTTCAATGTAATGTCAACGTTTCTGTCCAATAATGAACCTTTTTGACAATC